TCTGGTCATTTTTGCTGGGATCCCATAAAAGCAGTCAGGAAGCTGGCTGTCCACGGTGCCTGGCAGAAGCCCCCCATCCTGGGGCATGAACCCCTCGGGACCAGCCAGCTCTCCAGTGTAGCTGTGCATGTTGACTGTGCTACTACCCAGAACCACCATCCCGGACCCGAGGGACTTTAAACCTTCGGACTGTCATCAAAACTGAGAAAGTGGTCAAGAGTTGCACTTGGCTGTATGAATGAAGCCTGTTGCGTGTATAGTTAATCGTCTTACTGAAGAGAATTAGGAGAGGAGAACCTTTCTCTCTCTTTCTCTTTCCTTCCTTTCTTCCTCCCTTTCTCTCTTAATCTTTTCTTACTAAATCAAGCTATTCTACTGAACAGCTATAGGGCAGAGATTTTTGTCTGTTTTGTTCACCACTATATCCCCAGCACTCACATCAATGCCTGGCCCACAATGGGTGCTCAATATATTGAATGAATGAGTGAATGAATGAATGAATGAATACCCAGGGCATATCAGATGGGAGGTGACCTGGGTCTGCCATGTCCTACATCTTGGGTGGGGTGCGTGTGGATACCCTGGAACCTGCCTTCCCTCCTGGGCACCCTCACCCTGCCCCTCCCCACTTCTGTCACCTGCCCCTCCCTGCCTCCATTTTTTCTCCTTGAGTTTGGGGGAGTTTACGTGTGAGACAGTGCTTGGGCACATTTGCTATAGTCGGCACATGCAGCTCTGTGGCAGAGAAGCCACGGAAGTGATTCAACATTAGATGGAGTGTTGGAGTGCTGGTTTCAGTTTGTTTCTGACCCAATAGCTCTCAGCAGGGGGCAGTCCCCCACCCACCCACGGGGGATATTTAGTAATGGCTGGAGACCTTTGAGTTGTCACAATTGGGGAGAGGGATGCTACGGGCATCTAGTGGGTAGAGGCTAGGAATGCTATAAACATCCTACAATGCACAGGACAGCCCCCCATAATAGAAAATTATTGGGTCCCTAAAGTCAAAAGTGCTGCGGTTGAGAAAGCCAGTTGTAACCCAAGATGGGTAAAGGGTAAGTTTCAATATATGGAGTGGTTGAGAGACAACAGATCTTCAGATTCTGTTACGTCTTTCTGTAAGGCTTTGAAGTAAAGCAGGAGATCCCTTGAACGCTAGGGCTGCCTCCTGACCTAAGCCATGATCTCTCTCGCAGAGGCTGACGCTTGTGCTCGCCCTGGCCACCCTGATAGCTGCCTTTGGGTCATCCTTCCAGTATGGGTACAACGTGGCTGCTGTCAACTCCCCAGCAGAGGTAGGTCGCTCCTGGATAAACAGGCTTGGAGCAGCCTGTACCTGAGTGTGGCTGGCCTTGGGTGGGTGTGCACANTTGTGCTCGCCCTGGCCACCCTGATAGCTGCCTTTGGGTCATCCTTCCAGTATGGGTACAACGTGGCTGCTGTCAACTCCCCAGCAGAGGTAGGTCGCTCCTGGATAAACAGGCTTGGAGCAGCCTGTACCTGAGTGTGGCTGGCCTTGGGTGGGTGTGCACACAGTGGGTCCTCACACGAGGGGAGAGGAAACACCCTCAGGACACTCAGCGTAGACCAAGGGAATTTGCAGACACAGGGCCACTGGCGTGAAGCAGTTCTTCAGACCTCAGCTTCTCACAGAGGGCACCCAGGAGCCAGGTCCCACTGGACACATGGTGGGCTGGGCTCTGGGAGAGGGCTCAGGTCTTCTGTGGCCTTGCAATTTATTGAGGAGCCTGGAGGGGGCAGGGACCATCTAACTGATCAGAAGATTGGAGTCCTTTCTTTCCGGGTGAGAAATGACCTGGGCGGTTTGCCTGTCCCAGGCCCCCCTCCTCTCCCCTGGCTGCCCCAGCTAACTCGCTGTTCGTCAGACTTTGTCCTGACTCCCTCCCCACACTCAGTAACGTTGACATCTGCTGCTCAGGTTATACCACTGGGTGGCCTAAGAGCTTATGCCGTTCTTCCTGAAAAACCAGATCAAATTATTATGGCCTTCTGTTTTGCTTCGTTCCCCAGTTAATGAAACAATTTTACAATGAGACCAACTATGACAGAACCGGTGAATTCATGGACGACATCCCCCTGACGTTGCTGTGGTCCGTCACTGTGTCCCTGTTTCCCTTTGGAGGTTTTGTTGGATCCCTCCTGGTTGGCCCCTTGGTGAATAAATTAGGCAGGTAAGAGAAGGTGAATGTTTAATTCCCTGAATGTTTGTTTGTTTTGTTTTTTTGCTTTTTGTTTGTTTGTTTTGTTTTTTCCTTTTTGTTTTCTTCTCAATTTTTCTTGGGTTTTTTTTTGTGTTTTTTCCCATTACAGTTTTTTTTGTGTGTGTGTGTGTGTCTTTTGTCTTTTTTTTCCGTGTCCAGCAACGGATCGCAACCCTCAGTGTTGCCCCCGTGTTGGCCCCTTGGTGAATAAATTAGGCAGGTAAGAGAAGGTGAATGTTTAATTCCCTGAAACTTATAGACACCCATTAGAGTTTTTTTGGTTTGTTTGTTTTGTTTTTTGCTTTTTGTTTGTTTGTTTTGTTTTTTCCTTTTTGTTTTCTTCTCAATTTTTCTTGGTTTTTTTTGTGTGTTTTTTCCCATTAGAGTTTTAAACATGGATCTAACACTGAAATTCTTATCATGACACTAGAGTAATTTTTGCGCCACTGGGCCGGCCCCCATTAGAGTTTTAAACATGGATCTAACACTGAAATTCTTATCATGACACTAGAGTAATTTTTATTTTAAAATTGTGGTCATTTTTATTTTCTAATGTGGCCATTGAAGGAAGACCAGACATTAACAAAGTGTTTGGGGATCTAGGCAGTGTCTCAGGGGTTAGAGTAAGGGGTGGCTGGGGACCTGCAGGCTCTCGGGTGGTCACAGAAAGAGCAGTGTGTGCTTACAAAGACCCAGGACTCACGCCAGCTCCCGCTGCTCTTCTGCCTTGAGGGTATTTTCCTTACCAAAATCAAAACCAAGTTCTCTCTTTGACTTCTCTGCCTTTAGAAGTGTCAGACACTAAAATGGCAAGGCCAAGATGTCAGTCACAACATAGCTCATGACCTAGTGTTCTTGAACTCTCTTCATAAACTGTCACCAAGATCTTCTCTCCTGCTCTCTCCTTTTACCTTGGGATCAGGTAATATGCAAAGTCTAGTCCAAACTGACTTCCTGTAAATCTCTGACCGACTGAGGTTAATGTTGGACACTGCAGTGTGAGAGAGTATGGTCCTAGGACATCTCTCTCACCGTGACACAAGTGTCGTGAACACCAGGGTCAGGGCTATATTTTGCCCCCATGTCCGGAAATATTAGAAATTCCATATTTTATTCCGGTAAGTTTCCTTAAGACATGACACTCTCTCATGTAAATTCCCTGGACATCAGAGAGCAACCTGGTCATTAACAATTTTAGAAGTCCTCTCGTCTAATCCCTTCATAGAGGAAGAGCCCACAGAGGCTGGGTTAGGTCACAGATCTAGTGAGATCGGGAGTCAAGACCAGACCCCAGACCTTGGTTCCTTCTCCAATATTTCTGGAAAAGGGTCTAAGAATAGAAATATACAGCTTCTAGTTTGGGATCTAAGATCCTAAGGTCTTCCTGGGAGGTGAGTGTTGAACTCACAGTTTTCTCTGTGGGTCCCCGTGGGAAGAACATTCCTCAAGTCAGAATCAGATCTGCAGGACGCTCCCCCTTGAGAGAAGGACTTGCCGTTTGGGTCCACAGATGGAGCTGAAAGTTTCTGATCAACCGTCTACTTGAGAATGTGATAAACGCTATTTGGTTGTTTGCAGTTTTCCTAAGTACTTGCCGGTGTTCTTTATTTATTATTATCTTATTTTATTTTATTTTTTTGGCAGCTGGCCAGCAACAGGGACCAAACCCTGGACCTTAGACCTTGTTGTTATCAACACCACACTCTAACCAACTGGGCTAGCCGGCCAGCCAGCCTTTACTGGTGTTCTTTAAACGACAGTTGCCACTCACATTTATTTATTGATGGGTTCCTATGAGCTAGGCATTATCCTAACTACTTTTAGAATTACTATTAACATACCCATTTTAAGGATGGGGAAAATGAGGCACAGAGAGATGTTGTAATTTACCCAAGATTACACAGCTGGGAGACGGTCAGGATTCCAACCTGGGAAATTTCACTTCTGAGCATGTGCAGGTTATCACACGCTGTACCTCTGTTACTTTGGGCAAATATCTTCTCAAAATGTTTCGTGAAAAACATTGAAAGATTTTTGTATATGCTGTTGAGTTCAATCTCCTATTATTTAATTTAGGATTTTTGCATCTATGTTGACACGTGAGATTGGGCTGTACTTTTCTCTTCTGATGTCCTTATCCAGCTTGGGTGTCAAGATTACACTAAAATTGTAAATTAGCTTATGATTTCAAAAACTGTTTACTATGTTTTAATATGGGGCCCTTTCCCTCCATTCTCACCACCTGTACCCTCTGCGCTGTGGCCATTTACGTTTGCTCCCACACAGAGAGTATTCTCACACCAGGCTATGCACTTGACCTGTGCTAGTCTCAGGTCCAGAGAGCTTAACAAGCACACACACAACAGCGAAGTCCACGCCGTAACTGGTAGAGCCTGCACCGAGTGGACACTCGGGAAACACTTGTTGAATGAATGAATGAATCCTTAAGATAAACTAACTGATATTTTATCCTCTGCAGAAAAGGGGCCTTGCTGTTCAACAACATATTTTCCATCGTGCCTGCGATCTTGATGGGATGCAGCAAAGTTGCCGGATCATTTGAGCTCATAATTGTTTCCAGACTTTTGGTGGGAATATGTGCAGGTAAACAATGCTATGCTTTGCTGCCGTTCTGTTATTTAGGATTACCGAAGAGGAGGTAAGACAGGCTCCCAGGTATCTGAACCCGCCTGGGGTGTCTGAAGCAGATGGATTCAAGCTGTTCCTGTACCTCTGCCGTGAAGTAGATGCTGGGCCCCTACACTATTCTCACGTGCAGACGGCAGGCAGTAAGACAGGCTCCCAGGTATCTGAACCCGCCTGGGGTGTCTGAAGCAGATGGATTCAAGCTGTTCCTATACCTCTGCCGTGAAGTAGATGCTGGGCCCCTACACTATTCTCACGTGCAGACGGCAGGCAGAGCTTTCTGTGATATTTCCTTCAAAAAAAGCTGTTATTTGAAAGACTGAAATACAGAATCTTAAGTTCAGAAGTGTCCTCTCAATCCAATCCTTTATTTTAATATTTTCTAAATTGCAGGTCAGAACTAGCTAGTGGATGGTGACATCTGTTTAGCGAGCAGCATTTTCTTTTTAAAAATGGAATAGACTGTGTCATATGTAGTAAGGATAAGTACCGTCTCTTGAAACTTTGTTTCGGTTACTTATCCGTATAAATGCAGGAGAACCAGGTTGTAATGTAAAATATATTTCTGTGTTCTTTACTATGGGTCATAGTCAAGAAAGCTTCAGAAACAATCTAATGCATGAATCCCTCTACCAGAAAGGTGTTAACGACAGCCACCTTTCAATTTTTATAGAGCAATTTAAAGTTTGCAAGTGGCATTCATGAGTACTTTCCCCCTCATTCCTTAAATGCCCACCTGCTGAGGAGAGCAATGATTTGCCTGGGGTCTCTCACCTAGTAAACCGTGGAGCTGGTTTGCAAAGCCCATGGAAATGAAAAGGGCAGAAACCATCTCAGGATTATTGTGAAAATAGTTTTGATCTCACGGACCCCCTGAACAGGTCCCAGGAACTCCCAGGACCTCACATCATACTTTGAGAACGCTGAGCTGTTGGGAACATGACCCGTTTACAGTCAGTGTTTCACTTTCCCTCCTGGAAGTCAATAAAGGGCATAGTCAAGCCACACCCTTCTTGGACACTCATTTTAAAACAACCCATATTAACAGGGCCACGCAGTCACTCTACAAATGAAGTAAACCACTACTCTGACATGGGGGACACTGATTTGTTATTAGTCAACTTGTTGGCAAGAAGACTGAAGGTTTTCACTGGCTCCGAGGAATTTATTTATTCACTCACCACTGTACTACCGAGGGTCCCAAGAACTGAAACTCTAAAAGCCACTTTGCTCCAACTCTGGTGGCATCAGAAGAGGCTGCCTGGGAGAGCCCAGCCGAGTCATTTTAAGACAAAATAGAGATTGCTTTCCTTCACCATAAAGGTAGCCTCATCTCCTCACAAACCTCCTGAGATTTGGCTCCTGGTTTGTGTCCTCGAGCAGTTAGGAAGCACTTGGTGTTCAGAAGCGGCCACCAGGGCCCGTGGTTAAGGAGGGAGCTCTGAGCCTGCCCTCAGCTTCCAGAAGACCTCTCCCCGCCCCCCACGGCCCTTAGCACTGGGTCTGTGGGGTGCTGTCCCCTGCAACACACATGTTAATGGCTGCTTTAAAGACTGCCCCTCTTTGTTCTGAAAATGGGAAAGAATTCGTTGTGATGAACTGTGATGCCTCTTTTGAAATGCTAAGCAGAGATGTCGGTGGTCAGATTTGCAAAGCAGGACAACTTGGTCTCAGTACCTTCCTGTTCAGTGCTGCCAGACACCCTTCCATCATCAGTGGCTCTAACCTGCACTCACCACAAACTGTGATCTCGCCACCATCTCGTGTGGCGGGAGCCTCCCTCTCAGACCCCCACACCTTTCTGAGCCTCAGCTTGATCCGAGACCACATATACCACACTCGGACTGTAACAACCCCTCTGAGCTTCCTCTGAGATCCCCAGCCTCTCCAGGTGCTGCTTTTAGGAGTATTAAATGGGATATTATCTATAAAAATACTTCAGAGTCTAAAATTAAATGCCACCTATTCTTAAGGGGGTCAGATTCCAGTAGGATGGGAAAATTTCAAGTTTAAATATTAGGGATTCAGAAGTACTCCAGGCATTGCATAAATCCCAGAAATGCAGATATTCCACAACATATATTGAAATTTTTATTTTTTAGTTTTATTTTTTTGGCAGCTGGCCGGTATCTTTGTAACTTTTTTTTTTTTGTCTTTTTCCGTGTCCAGCAACGGATCGCAACCCTCAGTGTTGCCCCCGTACCGGACCGGGGACCGGCAACGGGATTGCAACCCTCAGTGTTGCTCCCGCGCCTCGCTCAGCCAGTGAGCGGGAACTGGTCTGTATATGGGATCCGAACCCTCGGGCGGGAGCGCCGCCGCGCTTCCCAAGCGGCGCACTTATCCAGTGCACCACCGGGCCGGCCCGTAACTTTTGTTTTTTAATATTGAAATTTTTAATGTTTGTGGATAAATATAGCTTCTGCTTCAGAGTGTATGAAGGTATCCCTGTGTCTGCTTGTTATGTGATATGCTATTCCTAGAAGGCAAAGCTGGTGGGCAGACGTGCTTGGCCTTTTATTAACAGATTCTCCCCAAGGAGCAAGAGAATAGAGAGTGTCTAGACTGCATTTGGGCTTTTCCTCTCTGAGACCCAGGCCAGTTAGGAAGGAAGACCTGAGGTCTGGCTGCCTGTGTCCCCAGGTGACACTGGGGTTGATGAAGAAGGGCTCCTATGCATGTGATCCATTTTCTCTTTCCTTAAAGCTTATTTATTGATTGATTTTTGAGTGGCAGCTGGACGGTACAGGGATCTGAACCCTCGACGCTGGTGTTAACACACCATGCTCCAACCAACCGAGCTAACCGGCCAGTCCTTTCCTTACAGATTGAAGGACTAAGAATTGAAAGAGGTGTGTGCATTCTCTTTTGCAGTTCTGCAAAAGCTCTGGTCCAAATAATGTGATTGCTAAGTAAGAATAAATATATGTGAAGACACAGCTTGTCCCTGCCAGACTGATTTTTACTGACCGTGTTTTTATCTAAGAATTGAAAGAGGTGTGTGCATTCTCTTTTGCAGTTCTGCAAAAGCTCTGGTCCAAATAATGTGATTGCTAAGTAAGAGTAAATATATGTGAAGACACAGCTTGTCCCTGCCAGACTGATTTTTACTGACCGTGTTTTTATTCCAACCCTCCTCCCAGGTGTGTCTTCCAACGTTGTCCCCATGTACTTAGGGGAGCTGGCCCCTAAAAATCTGAGGGGGGCGCTCGGAGTAGTACCCCAGCTCTTGATCACTGTTGGCATCCTTGTGGCCCAAATCTTTGGTCTTCGAAGTCTCCTCGCAAACGATAAAGGTGAGTTTAGGACCTCTCCAGACCCCCAGCCCTCCCTCAGCCCCCTCCTTATGCTCCAAGGCCACTGCCACAGGACGGGACATTTCTGCAGGTTGTCCTCTTCTCATAGTTTGGCTGTCCTCCGGGGCTGTACACTGCCTGAGCCCACAGCACTGGTGTGCTGTCTGGCACACAGCAGGCCCTGAACTAATGCATGGTGACAGGCTGGCTGATGTGTTCTAGCCCCTCTTAGGAGATGGAGGAGGTGGCTTTGAGTGAGCAGGATGGGCTGACTTTCAGGGACTTGGCTTCCCTTGGCCTGCTGAGTGGCCGGTGGCATAGGAATGACAGTCACCAGAGTCCAGGCTCTGTGCTAGGGGCCTCCTGGCACTGGTTCACGTGAGTCTCCCAGCTCCGCTGCTGCCTGGGGCTCTGTGATTGTCCCATTTCACAGACCAGAAGGGGAAGTCAAGGTGAACTGTCCCATTTGAGTGAGGTGGTGAGTATGTGCCAACCCCTGCCTCTACCCTCCCCAGAGAACCCCAGGCCTGGCACATGGCAGGTGCTTGGAGACATGTGACTGGCGTTGTTTCTGTGTGACATCTCTTCCTTTGTCTAGGGTCTCAAACCTCTGAAAGGGAAACCACCATTAATCATAACACCAGTCAAAACATATAAAGTGCTTTTCATGGGCCAAGTGCCAAGTCTTTTACATTGATTCATTTATTCCTCCAAGTGGCCCTACAAAACACGTGCTATTATTATACCCATTTGACAGATGCAGAAGGCACAGAGAGATTGGATAACTCATCCACAGTCTCATTAGGATATTAGCCCAGTGGTGGTCAACCACCACACCCTCCTGCCTTCCCATCACTCCTGCATGCGTTCGGGACACCTACACTGAGGTGCCACACCCCCATGAGGAGCTGGGACCAGAAGCCAATGGGCTGGGCTCCTGTCACAGGGCGCTCCCAGCCAGCAGGACTCTGAGCAATGTGTGTTTGTGAAGCCCTGTGCCGCACAGGTGGGAGGGACTGGTTCTGCCCAGGGAGAGAGAGGGCCTGGATCGAGGGCAGTAGGACCAATGTTCCAGACCTGGGCAAAGGGGACAGAAGTGTAAAAGTTCTTTGTGCATCCAGGGAACTGCAGACATTGCGATGGGCTGCTTGTTGTACCTCTGTCCTTTACTATGACTTTCCTCTAGACAGAGTGTGCCAGGCCAGGGTGTGGCCTTATTCATCTGTAAATCCCCAGCACAATTCCTGGCACGTAATTGATGCTCAAATATTAAGGAAGGCCAGGAGAGAAGAGAGTCCAAGAAGACTCTGGAAGAGGCACCAGAATAGGACAGTCACAGTGTCAAAGGCTGCAAAGAAGTCAGGGGAGGTCAAGATTGAGTAATGGTTCCTGGAATGGGTAGTTGGGGGATCTTTGGCAACTTAGTGAGAAGAGTTTCAATTTGGGGGGCTGACTGGGGAGGGGGGGCACAGAGGCCAGGTGGCAGTGGCCTGCATGGGAGGTAAGAAGTCTACACAACTGCAGACTGTGCAGGTAATGGAAGTAGGATCCCAGGACTAACTAGGCTCCAGGATTCTGGTCAAAAGCCAGGAGGAGGTCAGCAAGATGATCCAGCCTGTGGAGAGGTGGGCAGGGCAAAGCTGAACTTGACAGTGGGTGGCACCGTTTTCTTGGTGAATATAGTAGGAGGTTAGGCTGTTGACCAGGAATGGTGGGGTTATGGGATGGGGACAAGTTTCATGAAGAGAACAAGATCATGTCTCAATGAGGGTATTCTTGGTTTATTCTTGGTTTATTTCTCTTCCCTTTCAGCAGCTGGAATTTATTTTATGAGACCAGTGGCAAATCACTGGTTGTCAGGTGGTGGTCATAGCCTTAAATTTGATTAAGTGCACCCAGGCTTCAACCTGTCTGTGATCAAATCTCAGATTTGCTCCCAAGTAACTGTGTGATGTTGGGCAAGGGACCTAAACTCTGCATACCTCAGTGTTTTCATGTGTAAAATGGGGTCGATCCTGTCACCCACCTCTTAACGTTGCTGTGATAAGTGAGTTAACACGTGAAGGGCAGTTAGACTAGTGCCCGGCACACAGATGCCTGCAGTTATCACCTGCTGCAAACCCAGGAGAAGAGGCAGGCGAGGCAGGGGCACTAACCCCCCCC